TGACCAAAACCTTAACCCCACCTTTCATAAAACATTACCCATACACACTACTATCATTCTTCAGAAGTGAAACCTGACAAGCATTTAGTCCTTCAACACCATGTATAAAAGTTGTATAAAGTTCACAAAAGAATTTCTCAGCGCGGAAGGTGGTGGCCATTGTGGATAACTATGACGGGTAAGATCTATAGGGAGGAGGATGATAGAGTCTGGATAATGGTGTACAAAGAAGAACTTTATACTAAGTACTTTGATGTGAATACATTGTGTGACTGAAATATTTAGCCTCGAGATTTTTAATAGTTTCTCGCTCATTCTCCCCCTTCTCTCTCTCTCTATCTATCTATCTATCTATCTATCTATCTATCTATCTCTCTCTCTCTCTATCTATCTATCTATCTATCTATCTATTTATCTCTCTCTCTCTCTCTCTCTCTCTCTCTCTCTCTCTCTCTCTCTCTCTCTCACACACACACACACACACACACACACACACACGCACACACACACGCAAATACACACGCACACACACACACACACATACACACTCGCACGCACGCACGCACGCACACACGCACACGCACACGCACATACGCACGCACACATACATATATACATATGTGTTTGTGTATATATATAATATATATACATATATATTTGTATATTCATATATATATATATATATATATATATATATATATATATATGTATATATATATATATATATATATATATATATATATATATACATTATACATATAATCAATATACATATTTATACACACACACACACACACACACACACACACACACACACACACACACACATATATATATGTGTGTGTGTGTGTATGTGTGTAATAGTTGAGGAGAAAAGGAAAGAAACACAGACGAAAAGAAAGGTGGGAAGAAGAAGGATGAAACCAGTGGAAAAATCAAAGAATAAAAACGATAGAAATGTGGAAAGAAAACTAAAAGAAAAGAAAAAAAACAAAATCGAAACAGAAGCTAAAAACTCCAGGACGAAGAACTGGAAAGAAAGAAAGAATAAAAGCGAAACAGACATCGAAAAAAAGGTTGAAAGAATAACGGAAGTAGGAAAAAAAGAGAAAAAAAAGACAGAAGCAAAGGAACTCGCGAAGGAGAAGAAGGATGGACGCGAAGGAGGAGGAGGAGGAGCGTGCGGGCGTGCGGGCGTGCGGGCGGCGGCGAGAGAGCGAGGGTCACTTGGCAACATGAGGCATGCGGGGGGGGGGGGATGGATCGAATCCGAGGCCGGCTTCTGCCTCACACTGGCATGCGGACACTTACGAGCGTACACCCTGATGCATATTCATGCGTGCTCTCAAATACACGTACACGGACAAGAGTACACATACATACATAAATACATACATACATATATATACATATATACATACATACATACATAGGTATAGATATATAGATAAGTATATCATACTCATATATATACATAAATACACACACATACATGTACAAACACATACAAAACGCATATAAGCACACTCATTATATATATATATATATATATATATATATATATATATATATATATATATATATATATATATATATATATATATGTATATCTGTATTTTTGCGTGCATTTATATTACAACCCAGAATAAGCACGCGTCATTAACACAAACACAACCCGGATCTAATCAGCTGATAAACCTTTCGCAAATCTTGGGGAAGAAATGACAACAACAGAATAAAGCCGTCGGGGAGCGAGAGGTCGATTGTCAGGTCACTCGGTCACTCTCCCTCGGCCTCGTCTATCTGTCAAGTGTGACAGCCACCGACAGCCTCTGACATTAAAGTCGTCTTGTCGATAGTGACCTTAGACAAGCTTTACTTAATCCTTCTTAAGTACCCTCTCTGTACGACTTAAAGGTGGGCGTTGCTCGTGTGTGTGTCTGTGTCTCGGAGATTGTTGGAATGTGTGTGGCAAAGGAGGTCGCTGCAGTCGTTATCCTCTGGTGTCCAAGAGCCGGTTTTTTAGTGTTGTTAACTTACAAGGAGAAAAATAGCACAGGGGTAAATTTTGACGTGGGTTCAAAATGTGTCCAGATTTGGTTACTGGATTTTTGAGTTTAAATTTTTGTATTAAGTATCATGAACAATGTTTTTTTTTAATATTACTAGATCAAAGTATTTTTATTTCTTTAAAAAATTCTCCGGCTGTGATCTGCAAGAGTTTCCAGGAATATGTAAATGATTACTGAATACAGACCTTTTACAATTATTTATCCTTTTATCTGTTTTTTATAATCATTCTTATCTGGTGTTCTTTAAGCTTTATCATTTTCTTTATTTATGAAATATCTTCATTTATAATTTAAACCCTTATTTTGCAAACCTCATCTTTCCTATACATAGAAGAAAATCGTGCAATGAAATTAGATAGAATATATGTTCCAGAAACGGCTTAGCATCATAGACAGCAGCTTAAAATATTAAGAATATATTTATCAAC